TGGCGTCAAGCTGGTAAAGCACCGACCAAACTCGCAGCGTCAGTACGAGTACACATTCAACGGCCGCAATGCCGCACAGTGGCTGATGGACTGCTCCACCATGGTTGATCCCCGCGAGGCTGTTGAGGTCGGATCATTGTTCTTGCAGCTCAAGCTCATTGCTCCTGTCGATCCTCGCAACTCTGATCAACAATTCCAGCCATCAAAGCAAGTCCATTACTACATCACTAACCACGGTGAGCGTGTAGCAGGATGGCTCCTCGAGGAGGTACCATCAGGTGGAGACATGGCAGTCAAGACGAGAGATGGTCTTACTCGTGACTCCAACAGCAACCGCACCAACGTCATCATCCGCAACCCGTCCTGGCGTCTTCTATACCGCGAGTTCCTCAAGGAGACCATGTGCGAGGAGAACCTTTCCTTCTTCCTCGAGGTCCAGCAGTTCAACAAGCAGTACAAGGATGCCGTCAACGAAAAGGGGGAAAACAAGGTCGAGATCATTCGTGAAACACTCGCTGCCGCTTATGGTGAGTTTGAGGATTCCTATTCTATGACCACGCATTAACCATCTACAGGCTTGTACAATGCATTCTTGGCGCCTGGCTCACCTAACGAGCTCAACATTGACCACAGCCTTCGTACGCAGCTAGCCACTCGCATGACACGTGCTGTTGGAGATGATGCCGCTATGCTGCAAAGTCTCAACGAAGTTGCCTCGCTTTTTGACAAGGCACAACAATCCATTTTCAAGCTGATGTCCAGTGTAAGTCTCTCCTGTACTTGCCTTCTTTTTAGCCCACCGCTAACCCCAGTCAGGATTCGGTACCCAAGTTCATCAAGCACCCCAAATATGCACCTCAGCTACGTGGTCTAGACGCCGCCGCTGCCGCCTCAGCATAACCGAACTTGTCCCGATCCGTTAAACACTATCCGGCCCATTGGCTCATCCTGAGTCGTTTTTATTCTTCCTCCGACACCCTTTTCGTCGACCATCGCATCGCTTCTCCTACTCCATGCATCCAGTCGCAGACTGTGGCGTTCTGTGGGCTTCCAGGCCAAAACAAAAAAACGTTAGCATAGGGCGGCTGTTTGTAAGATTGCCTTCTTGTCTCTTTTATCATTACTTCTTTCTCGGTTTTTTCTTCTTCTCCGGTTCGATTACAATAGGGTTGCTATCTGCGATCCATGTCTTTTCATGTTTGCAAGCTAAGCTGAGAGATTTTGTTCGCTTCCAGTGGACGCTGAAATGGCGACCAAGACATTGAGATTGCTCAACTCTACTGGTTGATCTATTGGCTTTCCTTCCTTCCTTCGGTCGCCCTCGCCTTATTTGCATACAAGCGAGTCCACCCGACGACGATCGACGCATTTGGATGATGTAACTAGTATATCCTTCACAGCCCCCCGGACATTGCACCATTGGCATCCGGGTGAGCATGTGGTTAACACCCTGCATTGGATTGCGGTATATGGGTGGGGGTTGCATACGGGACGCAGGAAACAGGGACTGCAGGAATGATGGACGGTTTGAACAGCACTACTGTACCCTAATTGGGGGTTTTTCAAGATACCCTGTCTGACTCTATAGAAGAACTCATGATGATATTTTCCCAACGCGTTCACCTACATCGTGTTCTCCAGGGTAGTCCTTGCTGTCGAGTGGTAGCGCTCTTTGATTAGTGTATCATTGCACGCGATCAGTCACACCCATATGCACCTCGAGCCCCTCAAACTTTACTCCGGAAATCTCTCCATCAATCTCGCGTGGCGTGGCGTTGGGCCCTGGGGCCCTGCCAATGCTCGGTACACTCGGCCTACTTCTCTACAATGCGTCTTTGTCACAAGTGTGTGCCCCCCCCCCGCAAAAGTTAATGTTCAAGTGAACGTCACTACTCCGCGAGTGCCCGAAGGGGGTCCCTAACTCGTATACGTAAAATGGGCATTACCACAAAGATACTATACCATATAGCAAGTTAGTAAGTATATACGCGTCTTTGGCTTTCTTTTGTCGGGCTCGTGCATGACCCCGAAAGCATCTTCTGTGGGGCCCCTTTTTGGTTTTTTTTGGGGGGGGGGTGATATAGGGTCCCTTCGAAGGGAGTGGGACAAGACTCCGCGATGTATGGTTGGCGCGGATTTGCCCGGACCCGTGAGGATCGACCTCGGCATTGCACTGGTCTGGTAAGAAGGGCAATTGGGGAAGAACAGAAAAAAAACGTGGGTTTTTGGGGTATTGTCTTTGCCCGTGGCGGAGATTAGTTTAACCAGAGGTGGGTGGTGCGCGGTGAAAAGGGTGCGATAACGTTTTTGCCACGATTTAAAGACAGATGACCCTTTTGACGATCGGATGGTAAGCATTGCTCATCGTTAACGGCGGGGGTTTNTTTTTTTTTCTCTCCACAATAAAACCGCCTTGGGTTTTACGGATACTTTTCGTACCTTCGTATGTATGTAACCGTGCCTGTAGTAGTGAAACTGCCACACAACATGGTGATTACTTATCACATGCCCCGTCCACAAAGGAAGGGCTGAATCTCCGATCTGCGCGCCCCCCCGTTCGTTGCCCAACGCTTCCACTTGCCGCATTGGGTGGGCTCGATGTTTTCCCCGTTCCCCGAGCCATATCCACACACCTGAACCCGATCTAATACATGGATGACCAAACGTCGAGTCGTACGATGTTGTTTTTTTTTGCTCAATTCTGAAAAAGATCTACACTCTCTCTACGGGTGGGTTACACAAACCACCCATGGTACATACATGTCTGCTGACCGTTGGAGAAAAACACCCGAGACACCTCCCGCCATCCTTCCTCGTCGCTACACGGTGTTAAGATTAGGGTTTTCCATACACGGTTCATCAGACCGAGCGTGTGTAACATATGCAGACATCCGCATTCTTAGAGGCTCAACGGTACGAGGTGCACTCGGTCGTACTGCATGTTTAAGGGTCAGAGAGGGTAGGGGTGGGGGGGGGCCAATTATGCCGCATAAAAAAACGTGCTTAGAAAGGTTGAGTAAAGAGAGGGAAAAAAAATTGGGTTTTGGGCGGCCACATGGTTACCTTTTGGAGTGGTGTGGCGAGACGAGAGTCATTTTTCGTTGGTTACAATCCCGGAAGTTTGGGAAGCGCGAAGAGAGGGAAAAAAAAAGCGGGCGGATGTAAGGGGGCATTAAGAAACGTTAGTGTTAAGCCCTGCGGGAATGGAAAAACTCGGAGGTTTTGCCGTGCTGAGCAAGTTGGAATGTCCGTGTTTGTCATGCACTGCGAGAGGCGGCTACGGACTTGTTTCCGAAGGTACCACACGGCCTAGTACTACGTACTACGTCCGTAAGTAAAAGGACTAGTTGCACCGAAAATGGCGAAGAGTCCACCCCCCAGCAGCAAAGAGTTGGGAAGGTACATAGGTACGTACGTAGGTGGTCGGTACTAGTAGACGGTAGATCGTAGGTTTGATGACTACATACCATGCCTACATCTTCATCTACTTGAGTAGACGATCGGCCAAAGCAACGTCAGGCCCTGTTTTTGCCGCGTCATCTCGCACGCTTTGGAAGGAGACTTTGTCCTGTTCACATCATATCAATACTTACTTCCAAGTCCCGTCTCCGAGCATGACTTCATTACATATCGTGTCTACCTTTGTCACAATTGCCATGTCTCAGTCCCGCTGCGGAATTGTTCCACACTCGCTAAGTCATACCCGTCGACCTTTTCGCTTGATGGTGATCGACAGGGTCTTTGACCGGAAACGGACCAAATACGCGAGCCCATGCACGTACCAAAAGGGCAACTCGTGACAGTACACACTACACATGTAGAGCTATGCACATGCCGTACGCGATGTTGTTTTATATGTTGTGAATACCGGCAGATGTTTCGTCCGTGGTGACGCTGGAAATGATAATTAGGCTGTCCTTTCGTCCGACTCTTATCACCGATTTATAATATAGAAACACTTGGCTGTTAACGGGAGCTACGCTGTACACAGTATAGATCTTACTCTCCCTAACCCTATCTGTGTTACATCCTTGTTTAGTGGGTTGTACACAATAACTTGGCCTATCTCCATAGTAGATCGAACCAGATCGAACCTCTTGGTTGGGTTCAGGGGAGCGCGCCAGTGACATGTCTAGAGTGCAGGTAGTGAGAGTTGGAGTTGTAAGCAATAAGATTTGATACGGCATAGCATGAGACGAAGCAGTTTGCTACTGCTACTAGCGGTAAGCTCATTTACTATGGCTACCAGTACATGTTTTGTACGTAGATACGCTGAAAATGATAATCGGACTATTTTTTTACATGGAGAAAGCAATTTTTACTGCGAAATATCAGCATGACCACATTGTTATTTTCAATAAAATTAGACTTGATAGATACACACACTCTATCTTGACTACAACTAAGTGAAGGACGAGTATAATGATACTGGTGGTGTTGGGCGACGTTATCTCCGACTTTATCAGATGTCCGAGAGACTCAACTTATTAATCAGAGATAGAGATCAGGCTTTCAGCGGAAGCTACCCTAGATACAGTGTATACATATGTCTACTCCAATTTGCAACACTCCCTTGTTAATGGCCAATACACCAGCCTTTGGCATACCGCCATAGTAAGTGCTCTTGTACCCTCACTATAAGAGAGCGTCAACAGCGTCAACATCTTCTTTGACTAATCCAAACCCCACACAACAGTTTAGAATGGCTGTACTTAGTATCGTATCTGTTACTACAGTGGCCTATCTTTTTTTTGGCATTCGTTGCTTATTGGGTTATTTGGATCATCTATTGTCGCACACTACATCCACTTGCACGTGTACCTGGTCCACTATGGCCTGCAATTTCCCGAACATGGACGAGGTGATGTCTTTGCTGTTTGACACCATGAAGCCAATGCTAACAGATGGTCAGTAAGTGTTTCTATTGATTTCTGCTGAAGAGTCAAACCTCTTTCGTAGCTCAGTCAAGCTTAAGTCTTACTTTGATCACAGTGTACCGCATGCTCCGAGGCGATCTGGAGGTCGCGCAGAACAAACTTCATAAGAAATACAGACCGCTCATACGCATTGCTCCAGAAGAAGTGAGCTGCGCTGATGCAAGCGTAATCCCTCTTGTCTACCCTTCGCATAGTCCTCTGCCAAAGACCGACTGGTAAGCCATTATCATAGTAAATCTCTCTGAAATTATAACCGCTGGCTCTGCATGTCCGCCGCAGGTACCATATCTTTACTCCCAAAGGTCTCAGTGAAAATGCCGATCTTTTCAGCGAAACGAATGAGGAGAAACATACAAAGCGCCGCAAGATCGTCTCGCCAGCCTATCAGATGAGTAGTGTGCGGAGAAACGAACCTGCGATCGATGAATGCATCACTCTATTCACGAAGCAAGTACGAGAGCTCGCTGCAAAGAAAGAAGTAATCAATCTAGGTGAATGGATCAATTTCTATGCCCACGACCGTCCTCGGCTCCGTCCTCTTCGGCCGCCGCTTTGGCTACCTCGAAACGGGCGGCGACGTAGGCTCCTTCCTCAACGCCTTGAACAAAGCCGTGCCCTTCATCTACGTCATCGCCGCCGCCCCAAACTACATGCGCAAAGCCCTCATGTTCCTCTCCATCTTCATCCCTGGCACCCTCGGCCACCTCCAAGCAATTCAAGCCACCACCTACGCCGCAAAGCAGCAAACCCAACTCCGCATGGAGCGCTCGACCCAGGAAAAAGATTCACGCCCAGACATCCTCTCGCAGCTACTCCGCATCGTCGAAACAGGCGGCGCCGAATAAAGGCTTCACGCACCGCGACGTCACGCTCGAGTCCTGGGCGGGTCTCATGGCAGGCTCCGACTCCACCGCTTCAACCATGAACTCTGTGTTCTACCGTCTAATGAAGAACCCGCGCTGCATGCATCTCGCAGTCGAGGAAATTAAATCAAAAAAACCATCTCCCCAGCACCCCGGTTTCCTACAACGAAACAGTAAAGCATCTCCCGTATATCGGTGCGTGTATCAAAGAGGCGTTGCGTCTTTTCCCCACTGTGGGCTTTAGCTTGCCTCGTGTCGCGCCGCCGCAGGGTATCGTGCTCAAGGGCCGGAATATCCCCTCGGGCTACGTCGTCGGCGTTAATCCGCATACGATTCAGTTCAACACTGAGGTTTTCGGGGACGATGCAGAAGAGTTCCGGCCCGAGCGGTGGTTGGAGAGCCAAGCGAGGAATTTCGAGATGGAGAAGAATTTACTGTCGTTTGGGGCGGGGACGAGGACTTGTGTTGGGAAGAATGTAAGTTGAGACCTGATCACATTTTCTTGCTTTTTATCGTATAAGTGGAAAGACAAAGGGTTATGGATATTGATATGCTGACTCGTGTGAAATTCTAGATTGCTCTGGCGGAGATGTACAAGTTCATTCCAGAGGTGCTGCGGAATTTTGATATATACATGGCACATGATGGTCCTTTGAAGACGTGGAATGCGGGCTTCATAAGGCAGAATGGTCTTATCACGCGAATTGCAGAGCAAGCTTGAGAAATGATGTTTTTTTTTTATTTTGTTAAGATTTGTGTGTTGTTCTTTGCTATGGAACTGTACAAGAAACGCGTGTACTATAAGGATATAGATGTGAGAGGTGCTAAATCAAGTAACACGTTCTTTGCCGTACCATTTTTTTTTACGATTCCAAAGGCGGAGTATCAGCGTAACAAGTCTGCATGAAAAACTCAGGGTACCTTGTACCAACAACCTCAGCCTCATCGCACGCCTTTCGAACATCCTTCTTCTCTTCCTCCGTAAGCTGCACCTTGAGACTTCCCACGTTCTCCTCCAGTCTCTTTGGGTTCGTAGTACCTGGGATGGGGAAGATGTCGTCGCCCTGTGCCATGAGCCATGCGAGTGTCAGCTGTCCTGGCGTAACGCCCTTTGCCGTTGCAATCTCGACGATGCGATCGACAAGTTTCAGGTTCTTCGGGAAGTTCTCCTTGCTGAATCGAGGTGCCATGCGGCGAAAGTCGGTCTCGTCGAAATCATCGGGGCTCTTGATGGCACCAGTCAGCATGCCGCGGTTGAGTGGCGAGTAGGCGACGACGGCGACGCCCAGCTCGCGGCATGTCTTGAGTATATTGGTCTGCTCGGTTTCAATCTCGAGTGCAAAGGGCGAGTACTCGACTTGCACGGCGGCGATGGGATGGACTTTGTGTGCCCTTCTCAGGGTGTCTGAGCTAACTTCAGAAAGTCCGAGGTGCTTTACTTTTCCGGACTTGACAAGCTCGGCCATGGCTTTTACGGTAAGTTCAATGGGTGTCTTCTGGTCCACGCGGTGGCAGTAGTAGAGATCGACGTATGGAGTATCCAGGCGCTCCAGTGATTTCTCAAAGGCAACTTTGACGTATTCCGGGGAAGAATCAATTCCACCGGCGCCTCCATCCTTGATGCCGAATTTGGTGGCAAGGAATATGTCTGTACGCTTGGATGGGTTGGCTTTGAACCATTTTCCGAGCAGGGGTTCGTTATCACCATACCTAGAGGTGATGTTAGCACTTGTAGATCGGGGACTATGTAAAGCTTCTCAGTAGACCCACATGTCAGAAGTATCCCAGAAACGTTCTCCTAGTTCGTAAGCATGATCGAGGAGAGCTAGGCGCTCACTGTCTGGTTTGGGTGGTCCGTATAACGTGGACAGTCCCATCAGGCCGAATCCCAGACGATTAACCTGGGGGCCATTGCGGCCGAGAGGAGCGATGGGAAGAGACATTGTGAATTGTATGAAGATTTGTTTGAGTACTGATATTGTTGATGCGTGCTGTGACAAGATGTTTCCTCAGCCATATAACTATATATATATATATATATATATTTCTTGGCACCAGGCAGTGGTATTGGACGGCCAAATTTTCTCGTTCGAAAAGAAGTATAACAGGGATTACGTGAAGAAACGGACGAAGCCACAAGTATAGCGCTTGTTAGTACATAAGGTTTAGGTGGCCTCACAGCATGATGGCAAGCAGGCACGGAGTGTGCGGGGGATGGGTTAAGTCCGAAAATCCAGAGACACACAGCACCCCTGCCTTTCAAGAAGTCATAGTATGTAGCCCTACTCCAACATAAGCTTGGTTATTTCCGCTAGTAGGGGGATGCATAAGCGGGTATTTGTCGAAATAAAAATCGGTTTCTATTGGATGAGAGTCACCTTTTAGAGCCAATGCGGTTGAAAGAGTACTATAAAACTTGTTGTCATTCGATAGAACCCGGAGCTGAGATACGCTAGTATGCGCGCCAGAGCTGTACTAGCTGTGGCAGACTTCTAGGAGCGGATTTAACCAATTTCTTGTCTGGGTGCGTACTTACTTATTCCGCAACACGTTTGTAGGGGAAACAGGGGCTGGCATGTCACTCCTGACAAATCAGGCTTCTGTTGAAGCAATGCAATCATTCGTTGGCCACATGTGTTATTGAAAAATCCTGGTGCATCTGCACCAACTCAGTACTGAAGACTGGAAGAAACGGAGATAAGAGTTTTCTCCGAACGATGATTTTTTGTCCGTTTCACGGGAAGATTGTTCGTGTCAGTGTAAACGCCAGACGTGTTTTGATTGCACGAAAACGCATCCGTGCTGCTTGCCATATATTGTGATGTTCGTGTTGAACTTGAAAGGACGGTTGCTCTTAGAGTGCTGACATACCTTGCAGAGGGTGATCCGATACTAAGCGAGTTAGCGTCTGCTAAACTTCACATCAACTGTCCCGCTATGACATGGTGATAGGCATTTGTAATGCAGCCGTCACGCTACAGAGATTCGACATCCACGCTGCAGATGCCGTTGCTCATACACTAACAGCATACCGCATTAACATCTAGCGGCGCATCATGACTGCCGACATACGCGACCTCAAACCCCTCAATATTCGGCCTGTCCAACATCAAGTACGAGATCCACCAGAAGCCGATCCGTTTGCCTTCGACCATCACGATGACAAGATACATGTCCTTTTGTGTGCTTCAGGATCGGTAGCGACCATCAAAATACCAAACATAATCAATGCGCTTGCAAAGCACCCCAACGTACAAATACGGCTTATATTCACGGCTGCCGCGACAAACTTCTTGCAGGGCCAGAGTGGAGAACAGCCCTCACTAGAGGATATAGAGGCCCTGCCAAATGTACAGGGAATATACTTTGACGAGGACGAGTGGAGAGAGCCATGGGTGCGGGGCAACAAGATCTTACACATAGAGCTACGGCGATGGGCCCATATTATGGTTATTGCTCCCTTGAGCGCCAATGAACTCGCTAAAATTACCCAAGGCTGGTCGGACAACCTTCTTCTCTCCGTCGTTCGTGCCTGGGACACCACTGGTTTAATTGACCCTGTGAGGAGGATACCGGGCGTGAAGTGGCCACAGCAAGAGGAGGGTATACAAAAGAAAAGGATATTAGTCGCACCAAGTATGAACACGGCAATGTGGTATCAGCCTATTACAAGCAAACAAGTGCGCATCTTGGAAGAGGAGTGGGGCGTCAAGAATGGAGGCTGGTTTGAAGTGCTACAGCCAATGGAGAAAGAGTTGGCATGTGGAGATATAGGAGGCGGTGCGATGAAAGATTGGAGGGAAATCGTAGGCGTGATTGAGGATAGGTTGGGTCTAGCGGCACAAACTTCAGAAACGTCACAATCAACATAGGTCGTCGTCCTCAGTAGTCTTGAGAAGGATGTATGGATGTGCCCATAGTCTCCGGATACACCAGTACTTTGCAAACACTGCAGGAACGAATCTTCCAATGGGGTTGAGATTTGGCCTTGTTTGCTGAATTGCTGTTTTTTTTTAGCACGGTGTTAAATAATGCCACAAACATCACAAGACGACTATCCGTACAGAATCGAACATGATGATAAGTCAACACATCAACGCTTCATACTGCAACTGCCTACGTTAAGGAATAGACGGTCACTTTGTTGTGTGGTCCCAAGATACCCAGCAAATAAATCCCCTTGTAGTGTCTCTTTCTCCCAGGAGGATCAATGCGCTAGTACACTGGACGATGAAGTTACATCTTTTACTGTGTGGATTGCAGGTAGGGTATCAGCGTCATGCACAGGCACTTTGACAGAGTTGCACCTGCTCAGCCTTGACATACAGAATTGTGTGCACATTTACATGCCTATACATATTTTTTTGAGTAGGGAACATACAGAGATCCCAGTCCAGTGATGACTTTAGTCTTTTCGTCAGCTGCCGTTGCGTATCCAACGAGCACAAGGTGTTGGTGGGTGAAGAGTCATGGCTTTTGGGGGCCAGAACATATCCAGGCATGCTTTGCCCATCGTACGTTAATCAAAGCTCCATCATCAGCGTACTTATTTTGTGGGCTCGATGCTGAGTATAAGGTGGCTTGGTCGCGGGTTGTTTAGGCATCCTTCTGAGGCTGCTGTTTTGTGATTGGTCTTGTACCCCTCTAAGAATCATCCTGTTGTCAAGCCATGCATACTTCTTTGCTTCAGCCTGGCTGGGGGCCGGAACGCCTCAGGCATGGATCTACGTAAAATGCTGATATTGTCATACTTGACGTGAGACAAAGGAGCCTTGTTCGACAGGCCGATGAGGCTCTTTGTAGGCTTGGCTAGTCGCAGGTCCGGCACGATACCTGTTGACTTGCACAACGAAGCTACATTCACAAGTAATCGCGCAGTCGGCCTAACGCATGAAGGCGTTGTTTAGCGATTTCTCCTGCAGCATGCACGAGATGAAGTATTCTCGGTGTCTCGTGCATGCTGTGATACCCTGGAAGCTGAGCAAAATACCTTGGCATGGCGCCAGCAAGCTCTTGTCTGTGCCGGCACCACGTCGGCGCGGCCCCCAATGACAGCGCATTCGAACCAGCTCGACAGCCTTGACACAGTTCTTGTTGACTCTCTCATTCAAACACGGTATAGTCGAACGTGACGGGCGCGACCGGTCAGAACAACGGCGCCTGGCGTTGCTGGCTTGCCTACTTCCTGTGCCACGCTTGGCGCATGCCCAGCCCTTTGTCTCGGAAGGGCGTGAAGAGCCGAAGACATGAAGGAAAATTCGCGGACCAGCGCTAAGTACCACAGCGACTTCTTTCGGGAATGAAGCCGACCGACACTTCTTCTTTCCCCTAGGGGAACAGGGGAAGATCGGCCGGTAAGTTGATCCAGCAATGGCTATGATGCAATCGCGTGTTTGAGCCAAGAGTTAGAAGGAAGATGCGGCGCGCAGCAACAATCTGGGGATAAGGCCCGTACCGCCAAGTGGTATGTGACAAGCGCTCCAGGCACTGACTGGAGGACAATTCATTCAGAGCGAAGCGAAAGTGGCTGGTGTATGTGGATCCCCTAAGCTGAACAACGGACGGACGCACGAATAGTCTACTAGTACGCCCCATACCCCCCACGGCATAGTGCAAGAGGCGTCTCCTGTCAATCTGCACTTTAGGCAGACCGGCAGCCTATCTGGGAAACAAAAGTAATCCGAGTGGCGCCTCTGTCTTCCTCTATTTTCGTTCAAGGTCAGGCGCCATGCTGCAGCCTTTCAGATTAGACGTCGATTCATCCTAGAGCTTTTCACAGCCCCAGCGGCTAGTGTCCTTTTATTCACATACTCTTGTTCTTCTGCCCTTCAGCGGCATTCTTTTGGGGTTTAATTATTTGGTTGCTTCGACATTGCCCGATACCCTTGTTTGCTGTACTTTTGTCGATTTCCACCTCCGCATGTCCAATATGCTCAAGGGCGTATTGCTTGTGGCTTCCGCAGCATGGGCTGCAGCTCAATCTTCCTCTGAGCCTTGCGCAATTGTTGCCGCTCAGTTGGATCGAGCCACCAATATCGAGGCGCAAGCCGCCTTCGAGTGTCTCGAATCTGTCCCTGTTGACGTCCAAGGCAATCGCCTTCTCCTCGACGAATTAAAAAACATATGGCAATTCCAGTCAGAACTTGCATGGCTGAAGAATCCAGGAGATGATTGGGAGTGGGGTCCGTTAGATATCGAGGCGGAACTCGACAACATCAAAAGCAATCTTGACTCGTTTTCGTCCGAGTACGCTGTCCAACTCGCCATTCAGAACATCACAATTCGAACTGGCAACTTCCATTTCAACTACAGACCCGACATACTCCAGGTTTTCAAATTCCTCCGTCCCTTTAATGTGGCTTCCATTTCCCAGGACGGCAAATCACTGCCCAAGCTGTACGTTGCCGACGACGTCTTGGCTCTGGCTCAAGGTAGCTCAGATGTCTCCGAGATTTCCAAGCTTAATGGTCAAGACCCCTATGCCTTCCTCCTATCTGTCTCATGGTCGCAGTACATTGATTCGGATGGCTTGATCAACAAAATGATGGCCAAAGGAGATACGGACAACCCTGGTAGCTTCATGATACAGAGCAAATACGACGGCAACAGCACAGAGGTCACGTGGGCGAACGGTACAACAGTCGCTGTTACCAACATTGCCAGATCAGAGGAAGACTTTACCGGTGTGACCGACGGACCATCCTTTTTCGACGCATTCTGTACAGGCCGCCTTTTTGCCCAGCCAGCCACAGCCAGTACGAAATCCGCAACCGGTTCGCCAGAGACAGATAGTGAAGGGCCAAAAAGCCCCGCGAGTCTCAACTATGTCATCTCTCCCAGCGCTCCTGACCCCGTTCCCCGTATTCCTACTGGTATCTACCACCTCCGCAACAAGCGCCAGACTATCCCTAGTCCTTATGCAGAAGCTGTTGTCGAATCACAAAGCCAAGTTGTAGCAGGATACTACCTCAACGGAAACGGCTATGACGATGTCGCTGTGCTCAAGATTATCTCGTTCAGCAACCCCAGCTCTGACATCGACGAGACGGATTTCAACAACGAATTCCAGGCCGTGGTCGCCAGATTCCTTGAAAGCTGCGTCAGCGACAACAAGCAAAAACTCATCATCGACTTGCGTGAAAACGGTGGCGGCAACACCAATCTCCTCTTGGACGTCTTCATGCAGCTCTTCCCTGAAATGGTGCCCTTTTCTGCACAACGGTACAGGGCGACTGAGGCCTTTCTCAAGATTGGCGATGCTGTCAATGAGATTAGGGGCGATCCTTCCAAGGCGAGGACGTTTACTCGTTTCACAAGGAGTGATATTGAGAACAGCAACATTTACAGGTACTGGTCTTGGTGGCATTTCCTCAACAGCGATGGAGCCGATTTCAAGGACTGGAATGACTTCAACGGACCTGTGAACCTAAACGGCGACAGCTTTACTTCGACTATGCGATACAACGTAAGTCCATGAGCTATATAATCCCGTGATATCTTTCAAACTAACAAAAACGTAGTACACAGACGAACTCTCTATCCTCCCCGCAGGTTTCCGTTTCGTAAATGGCACGCGCCCCACCCCCTTCAACGCCTCCAACATCGTCATGTACACCGACGCCCTCTGCGGCTCCTCGTGCGCCTCCTTCCACGAGGAACTCAAAAACATTGCCGGCGTCAAAGCCGTCACCGTCGGCGGCCGCCCAGAAAACAAGCCCATCCAAACCGTCACCGGCAGCAAAGGCGGCGAAGTCACGCCCCTCTTCTACTGGCAAATGTACGCAGAGGTAGCCCTGAACCTCAGCTCCCTCGCCGACCTCTCCGCCTTCTCAGCCACAGACTCCGTCCTCTCAGGTATCGCCAACACCCCGCAAATCACGACACGCGCAGGCGACGAGTCCTCGCGCTTGCAATCGCAAGATCAGGTCCGCAAGGGCGATGCGTCTGGTACCCCGCTGCAGTACATCTACGAAGCGAGCGATTGCAAGGTTTTCTACACGCCCGAAACGTTTTTCGATCCTGATGCCGCGTGGAAGCAGGCCTGGGATGCGTTTCAGGATGACAGCAAGTGTGTCCAGGGCAGCACGGGACATAAGAGTTCGTTGTCTGGTGGGTATAAGCCTTATGGTCCTGGGGAGCTGAAGGCGGAGGATCGCCCGCAGAGTAGTCCGGACGGTGAGAGGCCGGGTAGCGGCAGTGGCCAGAAGGATGCGGCGAGTAGTGTGAGGATTAGTGGGGTGGTGGTCGGTGTTGTGGCGGTGCTTGTTAGCGCTGTGATGATGTAGATTTTCGAGTGAACGGATGCGACGCCATCTTTTGTCACCGTTTTTTTTTAATGAGTAATGCTATTGTTAGTCTGTTTGATGTAGAGAAATCATATTCCCCTATTCGGATTTCCGTATTTACTTTTTTGAGGTTGGACATGAAACTTCCGTGACGATGTTCCTTTTCTGTAAGAGACGAAAAGAAAAAAAAATAGGAATGAAAAGAAACGTTTTCTTGAACTACGCTGTGATATATACTATGGTTTACTTAAATCAAATTCGGATACCCGTATCCGTTCATTACAACCCACCCACCAAGACATTACCATACAAAAAAATGCTCAAACCACCACTTTATCATACACTACCCAAAATCCCTCGCACCATCCCCTCCCTAATTCGGCCGTAATACCACATCCCCGACACAGAGCACCACATTCTTGAAGAACCGCCTCCACTCTAGCGGATCCCCACTCGCCTTGACAAACCTGACCTCCCAATACCACGCGCCCTCATACACGGCCTTCTCAACCACCACATGCCCATTGAGTCCCTGACGCCGTCCATCCGCCATTTTGACTCGTATACTTGCGCTGCCGAGCTGCTCTGCTTCTTCGATTTGAAGGGCGGAAAAGGACGGAGCTGGGACGCCGAGACGGTTCAAAGACGCGAGGAGTAAGGGGAGGAGAAGCGACAAGGGACGAGGGGATATGAAGCGGGCCATGGAGTAGGAAGGGAGGATGTCGGCAAATTTGCGAGCGGCTTGCGTGAAGGTTAGGGGCACGCCGGGTTGAGAGCTGAATTGGGTCATGCTGGGGTCTTGAGATAGGGCGTCTTGAGTTGAAGATGGGAGTTGCGAGAGGAAGGGTGTCGAGCTTATTTCCGGGTGGTATATGGCTGCGTGGCCGGTTGTGGTGGGTTGCGAGGCAGACATGCCGTCGTGGGTTGCGAGGCGTGGTGGGCGTTCCCAGTCAAACGGTGTGTCGCCGGAGGGGGTTTCGGGTTGGGTGGAGGAGAGAATATGGATGGCGCTGGAACGACGGGGATCGTCGTTTGTGTCAATGTCCATTGCATCGCCGTCGTCCTGCGAGAATCCGCGTTGGGATTGGGTGGGTGGTCGCGTGAAATCGATGCGTAGATGGGAAAGCATTTGTGTCGCCAGACCAATTGGGTTGGCGTTACGTCCCGAAGGCGTCAAGTATGGGTTCTTGCGTGTGAACCAAGGATGTGTACGCACTTCGTCTAGAGTAAAGCGTTGTTTTGGATCGACTTTGAGCATGCCTCGAAGCAAGCTGACAATATCAGGCGGAAGCTTAGCCCACAGCTCATCAGTCGTATGGCCTCCAGTGTCGACGTATTCCCTAAACTCTTCCGATCGCATCGTGGGTTCATCCCATGGCGTATTTCCGACAAGAAGAACGAACAGTACAACACCGCAACTCCAAATGTCGCACATATTGGCCTCGTATCCCACGTCCAAGACATCGGCCCTCTTGCTTCGTCTCCCGCTGACGATTTCGGGTGCAATATAGGGTGGTGAGCCACAAACAGTATTGCAAAGCCGTATTTGTCCATCCTTCTTGAACAGGGCTGCCAGTCCAAAATCACTCAGCTTCAAGTCTCCCTCGGCACTCAGCAACACATTCTCAGGCTTGATGTCTCTGTGTGCCACGCCCATGCTATGCATGTACGCGACGGCACTAACAAGCTGTGAGAAGTACAGATGTGCCACATCCTGACCAACGCCCTCGTCTGCTTCGATCTTGTCAAACAAGTCGCCTCCCTCTGCCAGTTCCATGGCTATCCATGTCCAAAGTGCGTCCTCACCGGAGCCCAGGCAATGGATAATGTTATGGTGTTTACCAAGATGCTGATGCAATACAATTTCCATCTTGATCTGCTTCGGAGTGAGGCGGCCGGTGCGCAGGGCATGTTCTTTGTTGATGAACTTGATGGCGATGACGGGTTTGGGGGCATTATGGGGTACGGCTTTGCGGATCCTGAGGCGACATTAGTAGGAGGACTTGACAGCCTGAAGATGGAGACTGACGAGGCGTATGCGCCTTGTCCAATGGTCTTGCTCACGAGACGAAAGGGTAGATTTGTGGGTAGAGGGGCTGCCTGGCTTCCAGGCGGGGCGGGGCTCATTGTAGCGAGTATATTGTGTATAAGAGCTGGGCACTGGTTTGATCAAGGGTAGGTGTTATCAAATAACAAGACCAACGTATTGTCTGAAGTATGCCCGTAGTTTGTGGTGTTCAAAAATCGTCGTTATTCATCAATCGCTATCGTCCCATCAGGCACCAACATCGCGTCACTGCGTGCAAAACATAACGCACAGACGATAAACCACGCGACGCGGCAACGCCTGTTCACGTGACTGACAGCCTCGTCACAAACCATGTATTTTGCCCACAGGCATCTGTCTCGCAAATGGGTTTTGGAGATTGGTGTCGGCAACTGGTGCCGAGTCTTACATACTACATATCTTTCCATATTATTACATATACAGAGCAGACTGATAGTTCTGGCTAGAGCAATGCGTGCACTCGCTCTTAGTTGCGTTGCACAAGACGGAGTACTCGATGTCAATTTTCGAGACAACAGAAGATGATTAGCAGGGATACTGAGTGTCTTTTGTTGCATGTTTATACACAATAACTAACGGAGAATGGCCGGACTTTGCTCATTGTACCACGCTACAATCTCAAAGGTGAACAGTGATGTGCGTAAGCCATGCTCTTTGTAGTAGTGTATTGGTCATCTTGTTTCTGATCAGAATTGAAATGGCGGGTTGGTATCGTACAACAGGTTGGTAATTGTAGGCATTGATGTGTCAAGGAAGAATGCACCTCGTCCAACCATAGGAAAGACCTACTACGCCATAGACTCGTACCATATAGGTTTAGCTCTTACCTAGATGGATTTCTCATGGTGCAGCTCGCTTTATCAGGCAACAGCTATACCTAGTTAGGACAGGCCTCACCATTTACAGGTTAGCGTCACCATTATCTCCTCTCAATCTTGGGACAATTACCTGTGTTTTCTCGAAAATATATAGGGAAAAAGGCCATGCGAGAGGAACATATTTAGATTCGAGGTGAAAATTAGACAAAATGCTTGAGGGGCAGAAAATCGGGCCTAATTAGGTATAGTCATGGTACAGCGGCTGAAATCTCATGGTACTGAGTCCCCAAGTAATCGACGGGTTTTGCCAGAAATTACCCCTTTCGGTAACTGGCCATTCCTGGCATGTCGCGATCCCCAACGCTGACCTCACACCCGAGCCGACTTTCCTCCATATCGACCACCATCCCCGCTCCCGTGCACAGGAGTAGCCCCAAGCTTCCAGAGTGCTTCGGAAAGTTCTCGCACGCCGAATTGTAGAGGCATTGCCTTTTTGCCTACCTCAGTAAAGACTCCCTAAGCGTTGCGCCCACGAATTGCTGCAAGCTTAGCCATGGGCTTCACCACCGGCTTCGTACGTACTATGTCTCTGCGACATCTTCTCGGCTAACCAATGCAGCTTGGAGGCGTCACCCTCACATCCGCAGTCCTATATCTCACAATATCGCTGCACACACAAAAACGCGCAACGCAAGCCGCCTTGTTACGACAACAGCGCCGGGTGCTTGCCGAGTTCTACGAGCCCAAGAAGCCAGAGCCAGAGCCGACAAGTCGGGAGGCCCCAGTAGGGTTGGCGGAGATGGCAAAAGACCGCTGGAACAGGAGCCTCGAGGAGGGTGTCAAGAAGGTGTACAACACAGACTGGAGGAGAGTGCGCGAGGATGTCGAGGACAGGGCAAGCATCATTCTGCAGAAAATCAGGGACAGCACCAAATGAGCAAACAAACTGCTAGAATAGACCTGATGCATGCCTGGTGCAGGCGTAGGGCGCATGCGCTGCTGCTGCGATACCCCAATTGCACGTGTACAAATACGGAGGGCCTCTTATAATAAAGAGCAGGTATAGATTTGTTTCCTGAAGAATATCCGCACAATGTCCAACAATTCGTGCAGGCAGAGCTTGTCTATAAGATTTCCTGTCGCTCCATTCTCACCTCTCAGTTCCACACTCACCTTCCCCGCTCCGTTCACTGCTATTGTTCCCTTGCGTTTGCGTAGCAACGCAAGATCGCGCTCTAACTACCCGTCACCTCTCGCTCAGGACCTCTCGCCTGTCAAACCCGCTTTCTTTGCACCCAAGAATATTCATCTTGCAACGAGTGCCTCGCTTGCTTTTGCTACAGCATGGCCTCTCATGGCAAGGTCCTCGACCTCTTCGATGATCGCTATCTTAGGCTACAGGATGTAGTTGGTAATGTCGAACCACTTCCCATGATCATACCATATGAAAGATACACGCAAAATCCTGTCGTCTACAGTATGGATACAAACCATGCCATCTTCCTCGCACTTCTACAAGACTTTACAGAACGCAAGGCAAGGGAGACGGGCAAAGAACTATGGACTTGGTACGTGCAGTGGAATGTGAATCAAACTGCAGCTCGTCAGCTTTCGGTCAACCCGCACTCCCGGAAGAAGCCTCGTTTCGATCAAGAACAGCCAAACCTGCCCACTGCGCAGCGATCGCGACACAGCGCACCCCCAATCACAGTCCGGCCCCGCATCCTAGACCCAGAACTGATGCACGAGGAAGACATGTTGAGAATCCTAGTCGATATCATACAGGTGAACAGCGCTGTGGTGCCTAACTTTATCGAATTCTTATACCGGTGGATCGATTACTACGAGGGAGATGGGAGGGCGCTGAAAGCGGCATTGCATGGAGAGATTCCGAGTTTGTGGGATTTTGAGCATCACCCACTCATAGTCCCAGAGGACATCAAGAAGAAAATGAAGCAAGCAAGTGAAGAGACCAAAGATGGAAAGAATAAAGCAGGTGATAAGACACCAACGCATAATAACACAGAAGAACTTACCCAAAACTCACCTACCAAGAAGATGCGAAACAAACCAGATCTAGCAACACTAGAGCGCAGGGCAGAAGAAAGTGAACGTCTACAATACCGCGAAGTGCACTTTGGTATCCAACCACCAAAGCTGGACGAACCTTTGCCGCCATTGATCAACATTCCTCAAGATTCGCAAAAACGTACAAAGTACTACGCTGCTTGCTTTAAGTCACGACAGCGCGCCTTTTACATGCTCATGGAAGCTGGAGTCACCCCGCAACAGATAAGGGACTACAACCGATGTCAGAAAGAAAATGTTAAGGATACTCGTTCAACTGGAGGAGAGGGTCTGATGAACTACGAGAGAGATGCACAAATGGCGCAAAAAGTTTTTGAAGAGAAGGAACAGTACGCAAAGAAGCAGAGGGAAATCGCTATCAGTGACAGGCTGGCCGTCGAGGCTCGAGTTGCTGCAAATAATGCAACCTCTGAAGAAGCATCGGGGGTTCCGCTGATTCCTGCGACGCCGTCATATCCTCCTCGTCAGGATATGGCCGCACAGATGTTGCGCAAGATCCAGCAAGCCACAGACAAAACTGACCAAAAAATCAACATAGTCCCTGAGCCTTTGGTGGGCATGATGAAAAGTGAGCTCTTCGAACGAGCAAAGGATAGAGAGACGGTAGCCAGGTACTTGGAGGATGTTCTCTCGGGTCCAGCACAACGTCGTACCATTGTCGGTGAAGAAGGGGGATCTCAGACAAGTGCTTCGGAGGATGAGAACATGTCCAACAGCCATGAATCTAATGACGATGACGATAGTGGCGACGCAAGCGACCGATTGCGTATGCCTTCTGGACCACTACCACCGCCTCCTCCCAGTCTTCCACAACTGAGCTTGCCGCAGTTATACCCTCCCAACCCTGCCGTACAAACCAACCAATCGTTTCTTCTTCCCCCAGAACAGCCGGATGTACATCAGCAGACACATAGCCACCCTGATTTCCCACACCTAATGTCCATGCCTCATACGACTCCTACGCCATATCATGCAGACTCAATGACTTTACCCACCGCAAATTTCATTCCGTACATCGGTGTTCCCCCTTCACAAGCTTACAATACCAGACCTCAGCATCAGTTGTCTGGGGGCTTTGCAGAATACGATCCTTTCATAACGCAATCATCTGGCGAAGGCACTTATCGTCATGCTTTCTCATCTTCCATATTTGATGAGACAATCCAGCCAGATGGCTTCAATGGTTCAAATGCTCTGAACAGTAATCTCCCATATCTACCTACATATGAGCCCAGGCTACCTGCACCTCATCAGCCCCAACGTCTCTCATTACCATATCAGCCTCACGACCAGCAATTATATGTACCTGCGCAGTATCATGCGCCTTCTTATTCTGTTGATCCGGCTTTACCATTTCCAGTTCCACCACCCACATTTGCACAGCAATATCACGACACATACGCACCCGACCGTGGACAATCAAATGGATCATTTACACTCCCAAACCAACCCGTCTTCAATGGTTCCAACAACGGCTTCATGACAACTGGACAGCAACTACCCGCAAATGTACACCCCTACCCTCCACCAACCTTTCTCCAACCCCTCCAACCAAGCATCCACCGCACAGCACCGACCCCCCTATCTTTCATCCCCCCACCCTCCCCCATGTCCACCCTCGCCCCCTCACTTCTTGTAACCTCCCCCTTCGCAACCAGCCACTCCGACCTCCCCATCCAAATCTACTTCCAGAAAATCGTCTTCCCAGCCAACACGCTCGGCCCCGGCGGCGCCAAACTCGGCGACGGCGACGTCCCCGAAACCGATGCGTTCCTACTCGGCCACGTACGTCCCGGCAGCGGCGAAATCGTGCTGAGCAAAGCAATCTTCTTGCCGGTGGGCGTGTGGAAGAATGCTACTGCAAGGGTGCGAAATGGGAAGTGTAAAGTGCTGGAGTCGTATCCCATGCCGGGGGGCGATGTGGGGAGTTACCCAACGGGTGTAGCGCATCGGGCGGCGTACGAGAAGGTGAAGGAGGCGTTTGGGTTTATGATTGCGGCGCCGGCGGAGCTTAGGGAGAGGGGGGTTACGAAGAGGTGGAGGGTAAGCAGGGGGCCGATGACGGCGAGTGAGCGGGGTGCGGTGTGGGAGGGTTGGGGGGTCGAGGTTGATAGGCAGGTCAAGATGGGGAGGGAGGAGAGGGTAGGTGCGGTGGTGCTTGATTCGCGTATTGATGGGGCGAAGACGCGTGATTGGGAGGAGGAGAGGAGACAGAGGGAGATGAAGGAGTGGTTCGTCGAGAGGGATGATGAGGATGATGAGGATGATGAGGATGACGAGGAGGAGGTGGAGGAAGATGTGAGGATGGAAGATTTTGTGACGTTTGGAGATGAAGAGTGATGGATTGATTGTATCTATGAGCGAACGTGGATGGGTGGTTAGATACATCGTCCACCGTCTACTTCGAGATTGACTCCTGTAATGAAACCTGCTTCTTTGCTCGCCATGAAGATGCACGCATTCACCACGTCATCTACCTCACCGATGCGTCCCATGGGTACGTTGGACGTGAACTTTGTCCTATTCTCCGGCGTATCTTCCATACCAGTGAAAGCAGAGAAAAGACCCGTAGCAGTGATCAAGGGACATATGGATACAACACGGATCTGATGTGGGCCGTATTCTGCTGCGAGACCTTTTGTTGCCTGTTGCATGTCAACAAGAATTTAAGGAAGAAAGTATGAGAACATACATTCCAGATAGCACCTTTACTTGCATTGTACCATACAAGGCCTGGTCTTGGTCTTGTAGCACCAACACTCGCTATGTTAATGATTACACCGCCCTCGCCTCTCTCAATCGCTTGGTCAACCCAAGCATTACATCCCAGATACACACCCTTGACGTTGACATCGAAAACTCTGTCGAATTCTTCTTCGGTAACCGTTGTTGTCGGCTTGTTTTTGTACGACCAGCCCGCATTGTTTACGAGGATATCGCAACGTCCGAATTTCTCAATGCAGGCTGCTACACTTGCTTTCCAGTCGGCTGACTTTGTCACATCCATTTGGTGGAAGGCTAGCGATGAGGGGTTTGTAGAACATGTTTCTTGGCCGCCAGCGGCGTTGATATCGCAGACGAGAACTTTGGCACCTTCAGAGGCCATGCCTTTTGATATCCCAGCTCCGAAACCGGAGCCGCCGCCTGAGAGGTGGTGTTAGTGAGTGTGGTAGGCGATGAAGGCTGTCTTTTTACCTGTGACAAGGGCAACCTTGCCGTCTAATCTACCCATGGTGACGATTGGGAGTGGTTGTTGAAGGTGATGTATGGAGAACAAGTGGTGAATCAATCGGAATTGGCATCAACAAATATCGGATTCAAGCGTCAGGTGTCAGGTGCTGGGGACACCAGAGTAGTCACGTTGCAAGAATGGACAGCACATCCTCTTCTGTCACTTATTTTGGACCCCATATTCTGCCTTGAATATCGCATCCCCACTATCATGTTCCGATAACCAATACTCGGAACGACAGTGCTACAGGAGTGAGGGGTAAGGATGATGCCCCGCATAGAGTTGACGTATTGTTGGAGGACCACCGTGGTTCAGACCAATCGCACGCCGGTCTCGCCGAACATCTCAATTCCATCCATATTCTTGGCGTACTAATAGAGAACCTTGAATAGCCGAGCGCCCTTTAGTCAGTAATCACTCAGTCAGATCCCGATAACCTGTATGCCATCTCGGGTGGGGCAGTTGGACGGGTCAACTCGAGGACCGGAACGGTCGCAGCATTGGTGCACTTTCCCGCCGGACCGGCCATTCTCATACAACCACCAACACCTCCTCCTAGCCTCTACTTAGAATCAATCTTGAAACATTCAGAGTCGTGATTCTCAACTCTTTATAGACACCTTCCGGTGCGGAAAACCTTGAAGCTTCCAGTATATGCAGGCAATTCTTGTAGACAACGCAAGAATGGGCTCGGAAAACAAATATCAGCTGCCATTCAAGGTTCAAAAGATCCATCATCCCAATATAGATTCCTTGGACTAATATTCAAAAGCTGAATAACCCAGATCTTCTTCACAACCTCTCGTTTGTGAACGGCGACTGGGTGCAAGCGAAATCAGGCAAGACATTCGAGGTAGTTGGTAAGTCGCTAGATCGATGCCCAAGAACCATGTACTCACACCAAGGAAAGACCCTGGAACTGGAAAGCCATGGATAGAATGTCCCACAAACGATGCATCTGATGTTGAGAATGCTGTCAAGAGCTCATACGATGCTTTCCAGAAATATAAGAATATCAGCCCTCGACAAAAGGCACAGATGCTGTTCAAGTGGGACGCTTTGATTAAAGAAAACAGAGAAGACATAGCAACTATTCTTGTATACGAGACCGGAAAACCGAGGTCTGAGGCTTATGGCGAGATTGATTACTCCACCGGATTCACATGGTGGTTCGCTGGAGAGGCCGAACGCATCCAAGGCACTGTCTTTACACCTGCACTCCCAAATCGGCGTGTCTTCACCATCAAACAACCCCTCGGTGTTGCCGTCGCGTTAGTACCATGGAACTTTCCCATCGCAATGGTCTTGAGGAAAGCAGGTGCTGCATTGGCTGCCGGATGCACAATGATTGTCAAGCCTAGTCCAGAGACACCGATTACAGTGCTCACATTAGCATACCTTGCGCAGAAGGCTGGTTTTCCCAAGGGAGCACTAAATGTGTTGACTACAGATCTCGACAAGACCCCAGAGCTCAGTGAAGCATTATGTCGCCATCCGCTCGTGAACAAGGTCACCTTCACGGGTTCGACGCGTGTTGGAAAGCTTGTTGCTAGGATATGTGCAGACAACTTGAAGAAAGTGACATTGGAGCTGGGAGGCAACTGCCCTGTCCTGATTTTTGACGATGCAAACATTGAGCAGGCGATAGGCCAAATCTTCGCCCTGAAATTCCGGCATGCTGGACAGGCTTGCATTACCGCCAATCGTATCTACGTGCAGTCTGGTATCTTCGACACGTTCCTTCAGCGCTGGAATGCGGAGACTCAGAAGCTTGTAGTTGGCCATGGTGCTGACGAGAAGACGACAATGGGGCCAGTAACTACACCACGTGGTATTGAAAAGGCGGTTGCTCTTGTGGAAGATGCGAAGAAGAAGGGCGCTAAAATACACACGGGTGGCAACAAGATTGAAAAGGACGGTGGCTACTTCTTCGAACCCACGGTTATTTCTGGTGTCACACTTGATATGGATCTTGCTAAAGAAGAGGCTTTTGCGCCAATTTGCACATTCATCAAATTCAGTATGGAAGATGAGGCAGTAAAGGCTGCCAATGATACCAGCATGGGCCTTGCCTCATACTGCTTCACGAAGAACGTTGACCGGATATGGAGGCTGTTTGAGAACTTGGAGGCTGGCATGATTGGACTCAACACGGTATGTTGCATGTTGTTGAACGTCAAAGTTAAACAAGTAGGTCACTAATAATAGAATAGGGAAATGGATCTGCTGCAGAGTCGCCATTTGGCGGCATCAAACAGAGCGGCTACGGCAAGGAGTCCGGAAAGGATGTCGCAGTGAACGAGTACCTCATCACCAAGACCGGTACCTTCACGTTGGAGGAGCAGTCTTAGCCACCACAAGCATAGTATCGTGCGACGCTTCAAGACGTCTGTCTGGAGCACTGTCTTTGTGTTTGACCCTAGTTAGCTCCCAGAAACAATGATCGTTACTGTGGTTGTCTCTCTGTAGCGTGTAGTAGGCACGTCCCCAACCCGGGCTTCCTCCGCGTTTGACCAGGGCCTTGATATATATGTACCCACCTGCGTCAAAGCCTGGCCACTGGTTACCGTTTTTGACCAAGCGGAGCTGCAGGTCATTGTTGTGCACACACCGCACGCCACACCGCATACTTCACGTGATTGTGTTAGTGCCCGCCTCTGGGGAGCTTACCGCGGCGCGCCTGTCCCATCGCCGGCCGTCCAGCCTCCAACAACACCTCCACCCTACGCAATTCCCACATAATCGCAGAACCCCACTGCACGCTCCCGCCATCATGGACGACACAGACATGACAGATGTTGCTTACGACATTGAAATTGATGTTGGACCAAACGTTGAACCCGTAGCGCAACAACAGCCACAGCAAGTTGCTCAGGTGAGCTCAGCAGAACGTCGTAACGCATACGGCGCAACCATCTGACAAGATTTCCCGTGGCAGAACAACATAGCAGAGCCTGAAGGCAGCATACCTGCAGCTTATCTGGAGGACATTGTGATTCACGAGCCATGGCCCGAGTCGATAAACCTCCAAGGTGTGAGCGACTTCGACCCCAACGACCCATTGTACTGGGCCATGGAGCATTGCCAGTCAGAACCACGCGTCAAGCAACTGCGCTGGGTCAACGACAACTCGGTGAACCTTGAATACTACACAAAGGAAGATGCCGCGCTGGCCTTGAACTTGCTCACGCATCCCGATACCGGTGATACCAGCAACCTTTCTCTGCAAGCGCCTCGTAAGGCAAAGCCATACTCGAAGAAGCCCAACAGCGTTCTTTCGGTCAGACAGTCCAATGCTGGAGATCAGAAGCCAAGGGGCGCGGCGACGAGAAGCAACTATTATCAGCGCAACCCAGATGTTGCAGGAAATCGCCAGAGGGAGCCGCGACGAAGGCAACCACCGAAGAAGGACTTCTTGGACTATGGAGATGAAGAGATGGGGTCTCACGAGCGCAGCAGGAGGAGAGACAGCGGAGATGAGTCTATGGGAGATTCAGGTGTTGATCGCAGGGGCCCGCGGAGAAATGGACGAGATACCCGCAATGAGCGTGATAATCATGGTCGAGGCAGAGGAGACCGCCAATCTACTGGCAGGTTCCGAAGCGACAACCAAGGCAAAGATGTCGACTCTTACAGGCCAGGTTCTAGAAGGTACTTCTACAAGTATCTGACGCACCAATTCCGATGCTAACAGAAGCCAGTCCGAAAGAACCACGCTTTGGTCGCCTACGAGGGCGCAGCGCCTCCCCTGCCTCAGACGAAGAAGGCGACGGTCGATTCGGATTCTCAGAGGACGCAACGCACGCAGGCCGTAGCCGGTACCGTAGCCGTAGCCCGGGCCACAACAACCGACGTCGGCGTGAAGCTAGCGCTGACCGATGGACACATGACCGCGCAAACTATGATCGCACTGGAGGAACTACAGGCGGAGGCCGATGGCAAAAGGACGCCTTCTTCGTGGACACCTCACCCATGGGTAATCACCACCGGTCGAATGCAATCGACGTGAAGCGAGGAAGCGGCGCATCATTGCTCTCGCGCATGACAAAGGATGGCCAACCTGTAGCCCCACAACACAAGCGCTCTCTCGCTGATAGAATCACGCGCGACGATGACGACGACTCGGAGGGAGGATATGGACGACTGAAGAACGATTACCGTGACCCCAACGTCACCGACTTCTCTGAGCCGGCGCGGCCTCGTCGCGGTCTCGCGGATCGCATATCTCGCGATACTGATATGAGTATCCGCGGACAAGGACGATCGCACAGCCAAGAAGGCATCAACATTCGTGGTTCCGCTGAGCGTTCCGCAGGTGGAATCAATATACGGGGTGTAGCCAGTGGTGCTTAGGGTTAATACCTACTATGACTGTCAGTCGTAGTCTGAGTCGTTATGAAGGATCATATTTGAGTATGAAGTGAAGTAGCCGGGCAAGGGCAAGGCAGATTGCTTGTAGCATACATCATCACATTTGCCCTGAGCGTTTTATCCTCTATCTGTTTCTCGTATCATTGCAATGGGTGGACGGCATACCAAAAGAAATACACTTTCATATCTGTCTATCTATCATCAGGGGGGAGTCCAAGACATGAAAAGCTCACCATTGGGCTGCACAGTTTAATTGAAATTTGGTATACACACAGCTGTATACATGCTCAAGTCTATAAGATAGTAGTTGTCTGAAAAAAAAAGAATGGAAGTAATGTCGAGCCCATATAGGGAGAAAACCCCCTCCTGGATACCAAGAAACAATCGCTACCGTACAATCTGAATAGCAATGTTCATTCTCTTTGCCAACTTTTGCAGGAAGCTTAACAAGCACTGGGGCAATTCAGACGTATTCGCTGTAAAGAATGCAGGGTTTCGCAGTTTCTCGGCTCCACAGATTTGGCAATTTTTATCCGTTATGCATAGCTTTCGTCAAAGCCAATCGCTTACTGTATGGACTCAGACTGCGCTCCCTGGGAGCCGGTGGAGGCGCTGCCTGCACCGGAGGCGCAGAAGGATACCCCTCGAACCTATTCCTCGCCATTCCACCCGGACTCGCACGTCTCCTGCCGCCGTTCCTCGCCTCGCGCGGGCTTCGCGACCGGCGCAGGGTTCTACGCTTCGAAAAGGGACTGGGGCTGCGATCGCGACTATCGCGGTAGGGCGAGCGTGAGCGCGAAGACTGGCGCTTTGCTGGTGGAGGCGAGGCTTCCCATCTGGCTCCTGGTGCGGCCCCGTTGGGCGCGGGGTGGTGTCGCTCATCCGAAGTGTCCATGGGATCCGCACTCCTGGATCGTGACCGCGACACCGAGTACCGCCGGCCCGGCCGCTTTCTGTCTCTTCGAGTGCTGCGGCTGCGGCTGCGTGACCGGACGCTGCCGCCCATGCTGTGTGGTATCCTACCTCGGGCGGTCTCGAGGGACGTTTGCATGCGTGCTGATCTGGATCTCGACTGGGATCTGGTTCGTCGGCGGCCGCGCTCGTCGGGGCTGAAGGAGCTCATGCGTCGTCTGGTGTTTTTGTCGCCCTTGTCTGAGTCTCGTGAGGTGCGCGAGTCGGTTGAGATTGATCGTTTGGTTCGTTTGCGTAGGGCTTTGTCGTCGTGGTCTCGGCGTCTTGCGTCATGGTATTTTCTGCGTGGTGGTGAACGGGATCGTGACCGTGATCGGTTGGTTGATATGGTGGAGACGGAGTCGACAGACGATGTAGAGGGCGAGCGTGCATGTTTGCGCTCGTCTTCTTTTTTCTTTAGAATCTCGTCGGCGATGCCTTTCTTCCGCACTAGATCCTCTGGTACCTCGGTGGTGAGTTTAGGCTTTAGTTTGGGGTTGAGCAGTTGCTGTGTCCTGGATGGGCGCGACTTGTAGGGGCGCTCCTGGGCAGGGGCTTTACACTCGTAGCTGTAATGTCCACGTTGCAAGCATTTCTGGCAGAGAGTGTCGGCTGAAGCCTTGGAGCGGCCAGCACCTGGGCGACGGAACATGGTCGAGTTTGTCGGGCTGCTGCTATGGTGTTTCCGTTGTTGTGTTGTAGTACTACCAGGGGAGGTGATAGGGAAAGGCAGCACAGTACGCGACTCCTTGGGCGTCAGCACGGCGACGGGCGAAGAAGCAATTAAACGTCGCCAAGTTCAATCTTCTTTCTGTCACTTTCCGGCAAAGGCAACGCGACCAGCCTTGTTCGCGATAGGTAAGGCGCTGATGCGCTTTGGCCGGGACACTCGGCGGAGGGCATGACTAAGCGCACCCACCCACTTGCGGCTTCATCATCGCTTCTGTGCCCTTCACACGCCTCGCCCTGCACCCCGCATACCAGCCTGGTCGCCGTACCCCCTACCCGACGCTCTACCCAGCTGCCCACTCGATCCGCCGCGCGCATTTCTTGTTGCGTCGTGTCTTCGGGTGCGTAGTCGCTTGTCCGACGCTCCAAGCTGCCCTTGGGATCGCAAGCCTGGCGTCAAGGCTACTTCACCGCAGTCGTCGACGACCACTCCACTCCCACGTCTTTCCCCCGAATGTCGGCACACCAACATGTCCAGCTTTCTGGCTCCAGTTATCGCGACTTTCCTTGAGCACCTCGTTTCCTGAAAAAATTCCGTCCATTGCTCCGGTCAACACTACCTTCATTTCACTCCCACGACGATCCGTTAACGGCGTTGAGCTTGGTGATTTTTTTCTGGCGTGAGGCCCAGGTGTCTGTAATCCCATTGAAACGACCCGGCCTGTCACCAAACCCCGCAAACTCGGATTTGCCTTGCTCGCTGTGTTCGAGCATAGACGGCGCACCGCACCTAGGCCATCTGAGATTGCAATTTCCTGCTCCTTTGAGCTGTTACACCAACCGCCGCCAAAAAATCATGGCATCTGCGACTCCAGCTCCCACCGAGCAGGCTCCTCCTAGGCCGCTCTCCTTCGCCAAGGTACGTTGTCGGTTACCGAAAAAAATACAGTGTTTGTTTGTTAACACCGTCAGGTTGCGGCTTCCGCAATAAAGCCACAGATGTCGAAAGATTCTGCCCCAAAAGCGAGACCACCTGTTGCGACGCCTCGAGTACCTGCCATTGCTCAGAAGACGCGCGCTATTCCTGCAAACGGCGATGCTCCAAAGGCGGCCATGGAGAAGCAAGAAAACAACAATGCAAACAAAAGTGCTGAAAATGTCACTTCGCAGCGTGCACCACCAATTGACAGAGCAGAATCTTCACCGGTACCACCTGCAGATGCCAAAGCAGAAGCTGCCGAAAGACCTCAGTCTGCCGCGGTTGCCAAGGTATCTGCTACAGAAGACAGCAACACTCAGCTCTCTTCTTCTGATGGATCAGGAAAACCCCCCAGTATCGATGGAAAGAGCGTGGCTTCTGCGACGACGTTCGCATTGGATGAGAAGGAGTCGCTGCGACCGGATGACAGTGCTAGTCTAAGGGCGGTTGAGGAGGAAGACATCATATCTCCTCCAGATTCAATTATTGCAGACTCCCGACAGGGATCTGATCATGGTGCTGCGCGCGCCTTCAGGGATCAGCTTCAAGAGATAGCTGTGATGAACCCCCAGCCCCACCGAGGAGTTCCTCCAGGAAGATTTCCAACTATGCCTATCGGACCCCAGACTTTGTACGATCCAAATCAGTCGGTGAACGGCGCGGGACCCATGTCTCAGCCTCTGGTGAATGGTATATCTGCACACAATGGCGCACCCAACATGCCTGCCATACCAGACGAGAAGCTACTCGAGGCCCTACGCTCTCCACGCGATCGTTTGTTTGTCGTTAAGATTGAACAGGACTTTATCGATTTTATCAAGGACTCTCGGTAAGCTTATGTTGTCAGTGTGCTACGGTGTATTGTAAACTAACAGACTTCCAGTGAAAACGAGTTGTGTCTGCCTAATTGTAACACTTTCTACAGGATGCTGGCCCATCGTCTTGCGGACTACTATCTACTTGGCCACGTGGTTGATACCACTATGACGGGTGTAAAAATCACGCGCACACCATATTGTAGAATGTACGTGTTACTTGCATGGCTAGGTGGACACTACGCTAACCAGTCACAGCCCACCGCCTGTGTCGCAAATGGTTGATCCTGCAAAGGGAACCAATACTCCTCCTGTAGAGCTTCCTGCTCGCAAGATTATGCGACGCGACGACGGTAAATCTGGAACAAACACTGGAGCTAACTCGCAGAACGCGTCCAAAACGACATCTGAGATGGGTGGTAGTGAGGGTAGCAACGATGGCGAAGCCAACAAGGACAAGACTGCGCTTTCTCGAGAAGAGCGTGAGGCGCGGTATCGTGAAGCTCGCCAACGCATCTTTGGAAGTGCTGAAAGCGAAGAAACCGATGCTACCGAGGCCAACGGATCAGGAGAAGACAAAGAAAAGGGAAAGGATATGTCGAGGTCAAGCTCTGTTGCAGGAAAGAAGAAGCCCAAAAAACAGCGCAACTATGACGATGATGACTTTCAGGCTCGATCCCGATTCAACGTGTACTATCCACAGCAGTATCCTGTTGCTGCCTACGCCGGAGACAATGCCGTCTATTACAACGGCTTCCCAGGGCCTACACAGAACGCTCCATTTGCGGCTATGAACCCTGGGGCCTCGCCTTCAACAACATACAGTAACCCGTACCCTGGCATGATGAACCCGGAAGCACAGCAGCAATATGGATGGAACGGACAGCAGTATCAGCCCTCGAATGGATCGATGATGATGTATCCTGGTTACGGACAAGGACAGAATGGATACGACTTGTCGGCAGACTTTCAGCGGGGCATGTCTTCGTTTCAGAACGCCGGCGTACCGTCCCAAGTGACGCCAAAGATGGCTAACCCACAGATGGCGTCCTACCAAGACAATTATCAGCAGCCTCAACATATGCCTATGAATCCGGGATGGCCGCAAAATAATCAGCAGCCGTCATATCCGATGGCGCAGAACAACTACGGGGCTCCAAATGGACCAGGCAATCGTCCAATGTCTGCGCCTCATCAAGCTTCGATGCAAGGCTATCCATATGGCCAGTTTCCTCCCAATGCATACAATGGCAAGCCGAACCGTAATCAGCATCCTATCCCGGGAAGCTACAACCGTGGACAGTTCAATCCACAGACTCAAGCATTTGTTCCCGGGGGACGCAACATGCCTTTTGGCATGCAGCCCAACATGATGCAGCCACAGCCACAGATGAATGGCTATGGTGGGTATCAAATGTCTGCTCAGACCTCTATGCCTGCCCAGATGCCTAGGCACAGTCCATCTGCCACTTCCACGCCATCATTTGGATCACCTCAAAGCATGCAGGGCAATGCCTCTGCTCCGACCATGAATCGAATTGCATCGCAATCTGGCGATCCGGGCTCACAGAGCAGCATCGCCAAGTACGGCACGCCCGCACACTTACCTCCGAAGCCCCCTGCACCCGCACCAGCACCGCCATTTGCCCTACCTTCTATGACGCGAGTGCCGTCGTCTGGAATGCCTAACAACGCTCCCAATATGCCCGCTCGATGAGGGTAGGCTTCTTTCAACAATAACCACAACACCCCTAATTGACGTTTCATGACATGACCATTAGCATTGCGACGGTGCTACTAAGCTGACTTTTGCATCTTTCCCTCGAACAATGGGTCACGGCAAGGTTGGGCAAAAGGGGGGGTATGAGGCGTTTTGTGTGACGGCTTTTTGTCGTTCTGATCTGCGGGTGCATTTCGAGGAACATGGGCGTTGTTTTTTAATAAATGAAATTTCGGTTCTTGTATTTGGACTGTGCGAGTGCGGGTAAAAGCAGTCTTTTTTGGGGGTCAGTGCGGCGTCGGGGGTAATTAGTGTAGTTTAACAAAATTGAAATACATGGTTGTATAATGCTGTAAGATGAGTTTAGGAGGATTTGTGATGTTCGTTTTGGGGTGATGCATTGGATGATGAGGAAGTAGGCGAACTATGTTTGCTAAACGTGCCTAAATTAGAACTGAAGGCAGTTACCCCAGTACCTTACCAGAGCGGTGATCGTGGATCAATCAGCAGAGGTAGAGATATCGTCACTACTCCTCTTGTTGGACACTGGTAGTCACTGACTGGGGGAGTTTCGGCGGGTAGGTACTACTCCTATCCATGCCAGTCATATACCTCCACAGGCCAGGCCCTGAGTACGTCTCCCTCTTCCATCTCTAACGAAAATCACACGTACACACATATACATATATATATATAACTAACAAACTACATCAAAAGTGAAAGAAGCTACGACATAGTAAACTACTTGCTCAGCACCCCACCCACACGCATCCCCCCGTCCCACGAACCAAAAAAAAACTAACCGCGTACTCGCCTCTCCCTTCTACCACTTACTATTGCGTGCTCCCCCGCCCCGTCCCAACATACGCCGGGGCTTACATTCTGAAGGGCTGGAAAAAAATGGTGCAAGTAAGCTCGTTTTGAGGCGTTTTTGTCGAGGGGGGCTGTGTTGGAATACTAGTAGTGCGGCTGATACTACTACAGTTTGTGGTGGCAGGGATGAAGAGAAGGGAGGGGGTAAAATAAGCGAAGCGCTACAAGCATTTCACACGGGAATACGGAAGTTTGGTTTCTAGTGGTGGTGGAGGAGGAGGAAGAGAGTGGTTGTTAGTGGTCTTGGGTGCGGGGTTAGAGGTTTAGTAGGGTATTGGAGAGATCGAGGGGGGTTGATTTAGAGGGAGGGGGATCAGGAAAGACGAAATGCTAAGGATTGGATAGGAAGATGGGAACCGATTGAAACCGAACGATCGAGCGTGTGTTGTGAGGAAGATTCGGTTATTCGGGGGAAAGGAAAGAAAAAAGAAAGGGACAAAGAGGGGGGAGGGGGAGGGGGGGGACTAGTATATGGTCGTGTGAGATACTACACTTATTTCTCAACCGTTGGGGACTTGTGGGGGAAAAGGAGGGTAGGATAGTTGGGTAACAAGGATATCTCGCATCTTGCTCTCTTCCCCTCTTTGTGTCTTTCTCTTCGCAAAACGTACGTACGGAAATAAACCAAAAAAAAGACGATGATACAGTAACATGACGAAAAACGCATACTAAAAAAGCGCTACTATACGCACGTCAACCCCCGATCCCACCTATCCCACTTAGTAGCAGTCTAAAAAAAAGAAAAGAAAACAAGAAGAAGAAGACGTCAATGAGTGGTGGGGCGTTGCTGTCTTAAATGGCGCGCGTGTCCTGCCCGTCTGGACCAAACTCTTGTGCATTGCATGCGTTAGTTTGGGGTCTTGGGTCCGGGTTACCATGCACATGTTTAGTTTGGTTGAGATTTCGCGTGGGTGGACTAGTTTAGTTTGCGTTGTTAGCTTGGGGGTGGATGGGCTGATAGGGCTGAGGGTGTGACCGAAATAGGGGGGCAAGGCAGAATGCATGTGCATGTGTGTGGGAGATGAAAGATGACGGGAAAGGTGTACTAAGGGTTATGTGTGTGGCAAGTCTGTTGAGGATTTAGAAGGTGGTTGAGAGGGTGCGGAGAGAGGGAAATTGGCTTCGACTCTAGTGTCATGGAGGTATGTAGTGATTAATCATCTTGCTGTTTGTGTTACCTAGAGTCGAGTTGAGTCGAATCAAGATACTTTCAAGACAACAGATTGAACAAATGACTGCATTTATAAACACCTGAACTTTTATATCTCAGCTACAACAAAAAAGGGATCTAAATACATGATTACGTACTGTTGCAATTTGTTTAATTTGTTTATTTTCATGTTGTGATTGCGCTCCTTGCTACACGAACCAACATGACCGCCACATGTTGTTCGCTTCCTCAGACTATAATCGCCTATATCCCACCATCTAGTTAGACGATCAAACAAAAAAACAAGAAAAAAAAAGGTTCTGAGCCCTGTACAAGGCATGTACGTATAAACAAATCAAGGTAAGAATAGTGAAGGACTCGTGGGTAAGAGTGAGAGAAGCGTGATTATTACAAGAGCCTGTATTGTCCGCATAAAGCCGTCGAAACCCCTTCTCTTCAAGATTACCAAAAAGAAATGGTGGAGTACCACGAGAAGGTCCAGGAACCTAAAGTTCCTGAGTTGAGAAAAAGAGAAAGAAAAGAAAAGTGTGATTCTCCGCAATGCGATGGCACGCCGCAGTGACAAGTTTGCAAACGCTTCTTGCTTTTGTTTCCGCCGAACACATGTGTAAGCCCGTCTCGCTCGATACTCTTCCTCGGTCCTGCAGCCTTAAGGTGCAGGTTCAACCGGGTTCATGCCATCTCATCGTGCTAGTTTGGTACAAGCCTGCTCCTCCCAGCAGACGACCACGTCGATGCCCAACTCAGTGCCCTGCGCGTGCATACAGCACTACTGAGGGCGGTGGAAAGAAAGACCGAGGTATGATGTGAAAGCGGATCGGCCAAAAAAAGAAATAACCCTGCCTGAAGAACGCCAATGTGTGGATATATACCGACTAATATAGACAAGTCGATGGAAGGAAAATTGTCGCAATATACAAGTGTAGCAATGAGTGGATAAGGTACAGTCAAGTTATTAAAAGTTTTGAGCGATACCAGAATTCCCTTGATGGGGGAACACACTTGGGTTCTCGATTCTTGTGTTTCGCCGTGCGGATACATCTCTTATGATGGGCTGTTGCTGTTGGCCGCCATAGGGATCGTTGGAACCGTATGGGCCCTGCTGGTAGTAGTCCTGGTTGCCGTAGTAATCATGCTGTTGGTTGCCAGCCATGCCAGGATAATCGCCCGAGTGGTCTGAATGATCGGCAGCTGAGTATGATGAAGAAGCATTGGATGGGCCGCGTTGTACACCACTCTGGTTGTTGGCTGAGTTTGTAGCTGTAGCGCCGGCGGCAGCACCAAGCGCGCCAATACCATCCGAATCCATTGTTTGACGGCGTCCGTCCATCAAGGGGTCGTTGGATTGAGCGTCAGAGTAGACTCCGGTTGGCGAGTGAGGTGCAGCATATCCGCCGGGGTTGCTGTTGCTATCCGAGTAGGTCATGCCAGATGTCATGGTGGTGGACATTTTGCGGTTAGAGCTGGTGGTGGTGTTGCCCCATCCTCGGTAGCCACTTTCATCCTCAGCCATGGCGAGACCACCGACGGCAGGTAGGGTTGGGTCGTGGTTAGGGTTGAAGCCATATTCTTCCACCTCTTTCCTGCGCTCGTCCTCTGCGCTCTTGCGCTGCTTGCGCTTCCGCCAGAAGAAGATGCCTCCGAGTACCAGTAGGGCAACAATGACAATGGGAATGACAACAGCAATGGCAGTCTTGCCGCTGGTGGAAAGACCGCCGCTGTCTTCCTTCTGTGCGTCCTGCAGGCCAGTGGTGCCAGTGGTGGTTGGTTTGGCGCTGGCGCCGCTGGAGGATGCTCCGTTGGGGGGTGCAGCGGTGTTGGCTGGCGAGCTGATGGTAGACGTGATGGTAATGACCTGTGGAGGCTGGCCTGGAGCCGTGGCCGACGTGATGACTACGACCGAGGTGAAGACGTCTGTCGAAGTAGGCGCCGGTGGAGCGGTGACGGTGCTGGTTGGAGGTGCATTGTTGTTGGAGGATGGTGGTGGTGCGGGTGGTGCAGACGACTGGGCTGGCGGCGGTGCGCTGGATGGGGCAGGAGCAGGAGCAGGGGCGGAGCTAGGGGGTGGTGATGGGGGAGCTGAGGAAGTTGAGGGAGGAGCAGGAGTCTCCGATGATGGCGGAGGAGCCGGTGGGCTCGAGGGCGAGGGCGCTGGGGTAGGTGTGGATGGGGGAGGGTTTGGAGTAGGTTCCGAGGCTGAAGGTGAGTTAGAAGCCGGTGGAGGACTTGAAGCCGGACTTGAAGCCGCAGCCGGAGGGGCTGATGAAGGCTGCGGTGTTGCTGCGGAGGGTGTTACAGACGGCGGACGAGGCTGGGAGGAAAGAGCAGAGGAGGGAGGAGGAGGAGGAGCAGCAGAGGCAGAGGAAGGAGCGACAGCAGGCGGGCTGGACGCGACAAAAGAGGGAGACAACGTACTGGCAGGCGCATTGCTCGACATGATTGCAGAAAAAAGGGTTGCGCAGCCAGAGAGGCAGGGCACACGCAACACTTAGACTGGCAAAGGAGCGACTGAGGCAAGCAGGCAGGCAGGCAAGCAGCGGATGGGGCGAGGGTTGAGGGCGCGCCGAGGAAAGGCTGTCGAGGATGGTTGGGCGGTGGAAGGCAGACTTGTGGGTATCAGTCAGAGCCGCGACAAAAACTAGGTTGGCGAGGGCGACGGTGAGGGAGTTAGTGTGTCGCGCGGTGGCAGCAATGCCGTGGGACGACGGGTGGACAGCTTCGCAGCAGCGACGAGACGGCGGCGATCTGCTTGGACTCCGCCCGTGGGTCCGGGTTGATGATGTATCAAGGACGCGGCGTGGACTGGTGAGTGGGCGACGGGCAGCAGTTGTGCAGGAGACGGAGTGGACCCTGCGCGGGAGCAGGATGGGCGATCCCAGCCAGACGGCCGTGGTGCGGTTATTGATTGCACTGCCGAAGCGAACCACCCCAACAACAATGGCCACAGCACGCC